ATCACTAACATCAGGAAAATTCAAATTAAAACCACAATGAGATAATCACCTCACACCAGTTAGAATGGCCATTATCCAAAAGACAAAAAATAACAATAATAATAAGGATGTAGAGAAATGGGAATTCTCCTACACTATTGGTGGGAATATAAACTGGTGTAGCCACTGTGGAAAGCAGTATGGTGGGTTCTCAAAAAACTACAAATAGAAATACCACTCAACTCAGTAATTCTACTTCTAGGAATTTACCTGAAGAAAACTAAATCCCTGATACAAAAAGATATATGCATCCATATGTTTATCACCACATTACTTACAATAGCCAAGATATGGAAGCAAGCAGTGTCCATTAATAGATGAATGGATAAAGATGTGGTACATACACACAATGTATTACTCTTCAGCCATAAAAAAAGAGAAAGCCTGTCATTTGCAACAACTTGGATGATCTAGAGGGTATTATACTCAGTGAAATAAGCCAGGTGGAGAAAGACAAATACCCTATGATTTCACTTCTTTGTGAAATACAGTAACAAAACAAAACGAAATGAACAAAACAGCAGTAGACTCATAGACACTATGAAGTAACTGGTGGTTACCATAGGGGAGGGGTAGGAGTGGGTGGGTGGGGAAGGTGAGGGAGATAAAAAGGCACAAAAATTCTCAATCATAATGTAAGTTGGTCATGGGAATGGTGGTACAGCATGGAGAATACAGCCAATGATTCTGTTACATCTTCCCATGCTGACAGCTGGTAAGAGCACTAGAGCGGGTGAGGATTTAATAATGTGGGTAACGAACCACTGTGTTGTATACTTGAAACCAACATAAGATTGTATATCAATGATACTTCAATTTTAAAAAAAAGCAAAACTATGAATGTAGTAGAAAGAAACACATAAAAGTTATTTTTATAATTTTGGGCAGGAGAGCCTTCCTAAGCAAGATACAAAACTAGAAAGTCATCAAAGAAATTGTCAAACTTGATAAAACATAAATTAAAACCACAAAAAAAGGAAAAGGCAAATAGAAGACTTGGAAAAAGTATTTGGAACAACTGAAACAAAATATATTAAAAAATTCCTAAGAATAATTTTAAAAAGCTGAAATCCACAAAAATATGATTAGAAATAAAAAGTGAGTTCAGGAAGGTTAGAGGATTTAAGACCAATATATGGAGACTAACTGTATTTTTACATCGTAGCAACTAAAAATCTAAAAATGAAATTAAGAAATCAACTCTATTCGTAATGTCATAAAAAAGAATTAAAAGTTAGGAATAAATTTAACAAAATAAGAACAAAACTTGTACACTGAAAACTTGAAAATACTGCTGAGAGAAAAAGACCTAAATAAATGGAGAAATAGTACATGCTTAGGATTGGAAGACACAATACTAGTAAGATAGCAGTTCTCCACAAATTGATCTAAACATTCAACACAATTCCTATCAAAATCTCAGCAGACCTTTCTGCAGAAATTGCAAGTTGATCCTAAAATTTACATAGAAATGCAAAGGACCCAGAATAGCCAAAACACTCTTGAGAAAGAATAATAAAATTTGAGAAGTTACATCTTCTAATTTTAAAACTTAATATACAGCTACAGTAATCAAGACACTGTGGTTCTGGCATAAGGCTAGATATATAGATCAATGGAACTGAATTGTGAATCTAGAAATAAACCCTTACATTTATGGTCAACTGATTTTCAATTAAGATGCCAAGGCAATACAATGGGAAAAGGAGAGTCTTTTCAAGAAATGGTACTGGGACAACTAGATATCTGTATGTAAGAAGATGAAAGTAGACACTGTACTCCAGATATAAAAACTAACTCAAAATGAATCATAGATACAAATGTAAAGGCTAAAACTATAAAATATTTAGAAGAAAATAGAGGAAATCTTCACAAGCTTGAGATAGGCAAAGAGTTCTGAAATACAACACTAAAAGCATGATCTATAAAAAAATTTGATAAATTGAACTTACCAAAATTTAAAACTTTGTGCTTCAAAAGATACCATTAAGAAAATGAAAGGGTAAGTTACAGACGAGAAGAAAATATTTTCAAATCACACTTCTGATTTTTTTTTAAAAAACTTGTATCCAGAATATGTAAGAACTCTTACAATTCAATAATAGGAATACAATTTAAAAATAGACAAAGATTTGAATAGAAATTTCACCAAATAAAATATACCAATGGCTAAAAAGCTCATGAAAAGATGCTCAACATCATTGGTCATTAGGGAAATGCAAAGTAAAGCCACAATGAGACACCGCTTTATACCCACTGGCTATAATAAAAAGACAAACAATAACAAGTGTTAGCAAGGAGGTAGAGAAATTAGAACTCTCATACATTGTAGGTGGGAATGTGAAATGGTAGTCACTTGGAAATCAGTTTGACAGTTTTATGAAGTTAAACAGATTACCATATGACCCAGCAATTCTATTAGGTATCTAATCAAGATAAATTAATATACGTCCATATAAAGACTTGTATGCAAATGTTCAGAGCAGCATTATTCATAAAAGCTGAAAACTGAAAACTATCAAATTGTCCATCAACTGATGAACAGATAACCAAAATGTGGTATATCCACATAGTGGAGTACTATTAAGCAATAAAAATGAAGAAATATTTGATGCATGTTACAACATGGTTGAAACTTAAAAATATTATGCTAAGTTGTATAGTGTTGGAGGGGCACGGGGAGGGCTGTGCAACACAGAGAAGACAAGTAGTGATTTTACAGCATCTTACTATGCTGATGGACGGTGACTGTGAAGGGCTATGTTGGGGGGACTTGGTGAAGGGGGGAGCCTAGTAAACATAATGTTCTTCATGTAATTGTAAATCAATGATATCAAAATAAAAAATTTTAAAAAATATTATGCTAATTGAAGGAAGATAAGTGTAGAAAATCACATTTATATAACATGTCCAGAAAAGGCTAATCTCTTGAAATGGAAAATAGATTAGTGGTTACCTGGGGATTGAGATATGAATAGAGACTGACTGAAAATGGGTAAGATGTTTCTTTTTAGAGTGATAGAAATGCTCTAAAACTGAATTGTGGTGATGGTTATACAACACTATAAATTTATGAAAAATATCACTGAATTGTACATACAAAAGGATGAGTTTTATGGTTTATTATTCATACTTCAATTTTTTTAAAAAGAAAAATGAGCAAGGACATGAACAATTTCAGAAAAGGAATTGCAAATATCCAATAAGCATACTTAAGCAAGCTCATTCCCAGTTTAAAAAAATCAAAATAAATTCATTAAATGTATCTTAGTTTGGCAAAAGCTAAGAGTGAGAGAATTCAGTATTGCCAAGGATGTATGTACTCTGGTACACTATTATTAGGAATATGAAATGGTTCTGTCTCTTTGGAGGCTGATTCAGGAGTACCTAACAAACTTACATGTAAATACTCTCACAAAAATATTTAAACATGTACAAAGACTGTAATACCAATACAATGGAAATATTTAAATGTCCATGAGTAGGGGAACAGTCAAATAATTTCCATTAATTCAGACTCCTTTTCAACCTTAAAAAAAAGTCAGTCTAAACTGCCATGAAACTATCTCCAAGATATAAGGAAAACAAAAACAAGTAAACACCTGAAGTTGCCAAGCAAAAGGAAAGAGTCCACTTCTATAAAAAAATATATATTCTGTATAGGACTGAATTAATGTTCCCAACTCTCTCTCAGTAAGCAGAACATATATCCCTCAATCACTGACTTATGGCTTGGCCTAATGGCTTGCTTTGACCAATGGGATGTAAACAGAAATGACTATGCCAGCTTTAATCAGAGGTTTTTAGAAAGCATTGCATGTATCTATTGGCTCCCTCAAGCAGCACAAACTTGAGAAGCTTGCCTGCTATGCACAATAACCCAATGAAGGCTGACTAATGCACTGTTACATGAAAAAGTCCCAAAAGATGCACATCAAATTAAATTATGTGTGTGTGCCTATGTTGGGGGCAGTGATGCTATGAGAAAGAACTTTACATACTTTCCAGTTTCTTGAATTTTTACAGGTTTGTATCTAAGAAATCTGTTTAATGGGAAAATGAAAAAAAGACATGCTAAAAGTAAAAGTATCTGGATTAACATGACAGCACAAATGTTCCTTTTCTCCAGTTTCCAAATTTTCCATGCTGTTATAGTATATGCTGTTTAAAAAAGTTTGGGGGAAAGAATGCTAAGACTCTAACATCAATCTAATATATGCAAAAAGAAACATAATCATGATGATAACAACTCTTGCACTATATGCTGATGGCAATTCAAAAATGTTTTGAAAGTTATGCCAATGATCTTATTTAGCCATCAGGATGACACTGAAAGGTAGGTATTTAGCCACTCCTATTTCACTGTGAAGGAAAGCAGGCTTAGGTTACTTGTAAAGAACACACATGATAAACAATCCTTTTGGACTCTAAATCTCCAAATCCTGAATGCTATAATGACAATGTGATCACAACACTATTCAAAAAGAAAAGAGGTAGTAATTAACTGTCTGGAAAAAGGAGATTGGTTCAGAAAAAGTATTTCCTTGTGTGAACTATTCTATCAGCTGCTTTGTATGAAAAATAAAATGATGGCTTTCATTTTATTGTCAGATTTTGTCACCAAATTCTCAGAGTAACCTAATTTGAAAGTAACCATTTGTTACTTTTCATTATCATTTACAAGAACTATAATACACTATGGCTCAATACATACAAGCATGTCACTACAGTTTATTAATACCAACTTAATAAGATGATTTCTGGTCAGAAAAGGTATAGTTTGGAAACAAACATACTGCAGGGACTAAGGAAAACACAAATGCACACAACTTGGTTCATCGTTAGATTCAATGCAAAAGACTAAGTAAGCTTCATCCCTTTTAATAATTAAAGACAGAAGAAATTAAATAATTTTCATCTAAATAATAAAATAAGCATTTAGTCTGAAAAAGTCGGCATACCTGGGAACGTTATTGTTTGAATCTTCACTTTCATTTGCTAGGCCTCCAAACAAATAGCACTTGTTACCATATAAAGAGAAGCTATGTCCAAGCCGAGGACAAGGAGGTAAACCAGAAGAAGGAGGGTGGGGTTTTACTTTTTTCCATAACCAACGACTTGCCTAATAAAAGAGCATAAATATAATCAGATAAAACTCAGGTAAGCATTCCAATATTGTCAATAGTGTAACATCATACCAGTATATTTTAATCCAAATTCAATTAAAAGGCTCCAGTAAACTGCTTTTGGGACACATGACAAGCAAGCAGATAACTTTTGGAATTAATGTTTCAATAGAAATTCAATCTAGTCTCAGATTCCATATTCACAGATTCCCAAAATGGCAAGCTAAGCTTATAAATAATAAACCCTAACAAATGAAAAATTAAATATATATAGCTTTAAGATTAAATGTAATTTATGCATTCTTTTTTAATTTTTTAATTTTTTTATTTTGGTATCATTAATCTACAATTACATGAAGGACATTATGTTTACTAGGCTCCCCCCTTCAACAAGTCCCCCCCACATCCCCGTTCACAGTCACTGTCCATCAACATAGTAAGATGCTGTAAAATCACTACTTGTCACCAAGTTCACAGTCACTGTCCTTCAACATAGTTAAGATGCTGTAAAAT